TATATGTCAAATAAATATATACCTACATATATTATACCTATAGTGACACTTTTTATATGTCACTATGTGTAAAATTTCTTGTAGTATTATATATAATTTTAATATTTATTTTAAATAAAATTTAATAACATTTATTATATTTATTATAATTAATATACATACATTTTGGAACAAATTTTTTAACAATTAATAAAATATAATTATAAATAAAAATAATTTTTAATAATAGATATTGTGTAAAAAAACATGTATTATTAGAGTACAATTTTTTTAATTCATATTCGCTGAAGTTTAGATGAAGTTTTTTAAAGCAGTCTATTTTTGTTTTATAATTAAAATTTATTTCCAATAATTTACATAACATTATTTAAAGATAGTAATAAGAGTTAATTATTTATATATTGTATGTAAAAAATTTTTACACTTACCATCAATTATATCTTTTAATTGTACCACGTCATTATAAATATATTTATTTTTAATAATAATTGATACAATTAAAAAATATAATTGATTAACACTAACACCGTAAGTGATTAACTATAATAATAAATGGTGGAATAAGATAACGACCAAAAGGACAATTAATTTCGTATTTTAATGCGAGTTAATTACGTGGATTCTTTGCGTACTCATTAAATAGCCTTTCCATAAAATGAAAAAGTAAAAAAAGAATTTCCTTATCATTTCTCACACAGAAACCTGCAATGGATTCAACAACAGCCTTTCGCCACCTCCACTTTGTTTTCATCCCCTTAATGGCCCCAGGTCATCTTCTCCCCATGGTAGACATGGCCAAATTGTTTGCACGACGCAAAGTGAGAGCGAGCATAGTCACCACACCCCTCAATTCAATCCAGTTCCAAGATAGCATAGAAAGAGAGATTCAATCCGGTTCACCAATCCAAATTCTACACGTTCAATTTCCATGCGCTGAGGCTGGACTACCAGAGGGATGTGAGAGCTTGGACACACTCCCTTCAATGGATCTACAGACCAATTTCAACATCGCTATGAACTTGTTGCAGCAGCCACTACAAGATCTACTTGAAAAGCTAAGACCCTTCCCAAGTTGCATAATTGCCGACAAACATTTCTTATGTGTGGCTGATGTTGCTGACAAGTTGAACGTCCCTAGAATAATATTCGATGGGACTAACTGTTTCTTTCTGCTATGCAACCACAATTTGGACAAGTATAAGGTGCATGAAGCTGTGTCTGGTGAAGAGAAATTTCTTGTCCCTGGAATGCCCCACAGGATTGAGTTATGCAGATCTCAACTCCCCGGGATATTCAATCCTGGCACAAAACTCAAGTTGCAAGCTTATCGCGAGAAGGTGAGGGAAGTTTCAAAAAGAGCATATGGGATAGTGGTTAATAGTTTTGAAGAGTTGGAAGTTGAATATGTTAAAGAGTATCAAAGGGTTACGGGTCATAAGGTGTGGTGTGTTGGACCTGTGTCACTTTCCAATAAGGATGACATGGACAAGGCTTTGAGAAGTAAGAGAAACTCAAGTGATGAAGTTGAGTATTTGATGAAGTGGCTTGATTCATGGCCTCCAAGGTCTGTGATTTATGTTTGCCTTGGTAGCTTAAACCGTGCAACGCCTGAGCAGTTGATAGAGCTAGGGTTAGGGTTGGAAGCAACAAAAAGGCCATTCATTTGGGTGCTGAGAGGTGCATATGGAAGAGAGGAAATGGAGAAGTGGTTATTGGAAGAAGGGTTTGAGGAGAGGGTGAAAGAGAGAGGGGTTGTGATGAATGGTTGGGTGCCACAAGTGTTGATATTGTCACATGGAGCAATAGGAGCGTTTTTGACTCATTGTGGATGGAATTCCACACTTGAAGGGATTTGTGGTGGGGTACCTTTGGTGACTTTTCCTCTGTTTGCTGAGCAGTTCTATAATGAGAAGGTTGTTGCACAAGTGGTGGAGATTGGGGTGAGTGTGGGAGCTGAATCCGTTGTGCACTTGGGAGAGGAATATAATTCTCGGGTTCAGGTTACGAGGGAAAATTTTAAGGATTCTATTGAGAAGGTGATGGGTGAGGGCAGAGAAAAAGAAGAGATAAGGGAAAGGGCTAGAAAGTATGGGAACATGGCAAAAAAAGCAATAGAACAATGTGGGTCTTCTTACCTCAATATGTCCAAATTAATTCATGACATCGTACGTGTCAAAGGGTTAGACCAAAGCTAAGCCACAAAATAGACCACATGGATATACTCATATTATGTGCATTTGTATCAGCAGCGCAACTTTACACGTATTTGGATGTATTTTAAGTCTTTAAAATTTTATAGCTAATTAATTAAGTTCTCCGTATTTAAAACTGAGTAAATGGCAACACCAAAAATGCATGAAACAACACCCAAAAAAAAACTGAGTAAATGGTTTTTTATTTATTTTTGAATTGTTATTTTCTACAAAAAAATGTTTATAATAACAGGATTAATTAAATTAATTCATGTTAAAATTTATTAACTAGAATATTAAAATTCATTTAAAATATTTAAAATATCAAATTTGCTCCTCTTTAAACTTTAAGATCTTGTCTCTTGTATAAAACTTACTCTTTTTTAAGTTATAGATATGAAGTATTTACATATTTTTATTGGTGATAATCTCAGTTAAAAAGTTTCATTAATAATTATAATGTGATTTTTTAATTATATTTTTTTATTAACAAAATGGAATTGAAAGTGTGAGAGATAACTAATCTCAGTAAAAAAAATAAAATTAATATTTATAATGTGATCTTTCAACTATAAGTTTCTATATATTCACTCACTGAAAGCGTGAGGAATCTGCACTTGGTTATATTTCAGCTAACTTATTGATAAACTTTTCAATTTTTTTCAAGTTTGTGTTAAATTTCTTATTTTAAAATTAAATTAATAAGAAAAACGCAAACAAACTGACAATAAAATAAATAAATAAAACTATCAATTAAATTATTCCTCAATATCACGAATAAGGCATGAAATAAGATAATAGCTAGAGAGACTTGAATCCGATCCGTTAAGTGATGACAAAAAAAAGTATTTATTTATTTTTAAGTGAATATCCACTTAATAAAGAGCGAGGACCGATAATAAGGTCCTACTCATCAGTATCCATACTTTTATTTATTTATAAATATTCTTAATTATATATACAAGTATTTAGATTTATTTTTATATTAAATATATATGTTATAATTATTTATTTAATATAATTATATATTTTTATTTTATTTTTTACCTTTTTATTTAAAATTTTATAATTTTTCAATATATCTACGGATATTCATAAATACATGTAGATATATAAAAATATATATACATATATATTTTATAACAGATAATTTTTTTAAATATATTAGATAAGTAGAACTTTATTTTATCTGAAAATTTATTTAACCAAGTTAATCTTATCTTTGTTTTAATCTAGTGTATAAAAGGTGAATTAAAAAGGAAAATTATCATAAACAACGTTAACCAGTTATTTATCTTGGATATCATAAAATATTTCATATATATCAAATACAAATAATTTTCTTATTTAAGGGTATTTTAAGAGTTTCTCTATGAAACAAGTATTTTTAAGCATATTTTTTGAGAAGGTTTATGGAAATACTTTTAACTTTTTATTTATTATATAATTTATAAATTTAAAATATTTATTTGTATATATAATTTATTATAAATTTTATTTATATATAATTAGTGGAGTGTACCTATGTATAACAGTTACAAAGACATTTACATTTTACCATACTCAATATGTTTTTGGAAGGAAGTTATTATATTGAGTCGACAAAAATATTTAAAAAAAATGAAGAGAAAACAACTATTAAAAAATAACTAGATAAAATGGAATACTGTGTCTCACTGTTATTTTTAAAAAGTTAAAGAATTAATAAAAGAAATAGATAATAAAATAAAAATGGGACGGTTGTATATATTAATAAGTGTAAAAAAGTTTTAAGAATATGGATACCAAAATAATTTACCTCCTTTATTGATAGTTTTAATAATTAGAGGAAAAAAGAGACACCTTGTGACTCTTAATGTTTATTTTAAAAAAATAACTCAAAATAAAAGATAATGGAATATAGGTGATTATTAAAAGAAAATAATAGTTATTACACTTTTTTTAATATAATGATTTAACAAATGTGGAATCTAAGGTAGTTATTAAAATAAATTTCTCTTTTTATATTATATTATATGGAGGGAAGTAAGTTCCAAGAGTTGGAAAAGTGGATCATGGAAGAAGGGTTTGAGGAAAGGACCAAAGGGAGAGGCCTTATAATTCGAGGTTGGGCTCCACAAGTACTAATATTATCACACCCTGCCATTGGAGGATTCTTAACACACTGTGGCTGGAATTCAACACTTGAAGGAATAAGTGCTGGCGTGCCATTGATTACTTGGCCTTTATTTGGTGACCAATTTTTAAATGAGAAGCTCATTACTCAAGTGTTGAAGATTGGTGTGAGCGTTGGGGTAGAGATTCCAATGAAGTGGGGAGAGGAAGAGAAAGTAGGTTTGCAGGTGAAAAAGGAAGATATTAAGAAGACAATATGCATGGTGATGGATGATGATAATGAAGAAAGTAGAGAGAGAAGAGAAAGGGCAGGCAAACTCAGTGAGATGGCAAAGAGAGCCGTTGAAAAAGATGGTTCTTCTCATCTTGATATGACTTTGCTTATCCAAGACATTATGCAACAATCATGTAATGGTGAGGAGGATATGAAGCTGACGCCTAAAGACTCGTAATTTACATGTCGTGCTTAATTTGTTTTCAACTATCTAGAGTGATATTTGCGTACTCATTTTATTTAAGTTACTTTTACACCCATGTCTTTTCCATGGTTAAAAGAAAAGGGAAAGATAAATTTGAATATCATAAAAGATGAGTGGGGAAAAAATTGTCATTGCCCAATAATATGTATAGTCTATTTCCTATGCATTATGTAGTTGTTGCAATCCTTATATAAGATTGTGATAGATAACTAAGTTGTATAATAAATATATTGTATCATATGTATTTAAATATTTTTGTTATTGTTATATTACTAATTGATATGTTTATTTTAAGGATTATGAGCGGGACATAAAATTGGACATGATTGAATCACTAAAAAAAATTATATTTTTAATGATTAATATTACAATTTGTGGCAGTTAAAAATTGCCACAAATGTTATTTTTAGTTTTTAAAATAACTGTTAAGTTGATGTGCGTCAAAAACGAATTTTGGTAAGAATTATTTAATCTTAGCTCATGTGCGTCAAAAACAATTTTCGGCAGGACTTATTAAATTGTTGGCATTGGTTAGAAAAGAAATGACATTTATTGATGGTTAAAAACTGCCGGAAAGCATATTTTCAATTTATTTTATTTTAACATTATTATCAATTGATTTATGAGATAAGATTTATCCCATAATTTTCAGATGATTTACGGGTTTCTTAAGAGCTGCATGTGAAATCAAGTTGTTTAATTTGTGCATATTTCGCGGATAAATCCTTAAAATTAGTATCTTCACACACTAGAGAAAAAGTTATCTAATGTGCATTGTTCATTATTTCAGGTTATTAATATGTGCGTGTGTCATGAACACCGGTTGCAATGACCATAACTTCAATCTCTCCTTGTTTGCAGGTAGAACCAGAATAAACACCATCACCTGGACCCTTTGTCACCGGTAGTGACTCACCTGTGAGTGCAGACTGAAAAGTACAAAGTACCAGAGAAAAAACAGGATAATTGACCAATTAGGCATGTGGTGGATTAGACATTAGAGGAGCAAATATTATATGCTAGCATCAGCTGGAATAATATCTCAAAGCTTGATGCTGATTATGTCACAGGGAACCAGGACTGCAGCATCTTGCTCACTCCACCTACCATCTCGAAGAACATTTACAAACACACTCATGCGAGATGAAACAATGAAAGGTAAAAAGAAAGAATAGATTCCTTCCAGATGCAAACTGCATCAATAAGAATATGGAATCCATATAGAGATAAAACAGAAGGGTTTGACTCCTATAAGATTTAAATTGCATCTTATATTGAGGTCGGGGTTTTACAACATGTTACTAAAATAGGAAACTGACATAAGATTGTTTCATAATTAAAATAAACCATAACTATAGAACTTAAACATTAACCATAGTCAAACCACTCGAAGCCGCAAAATCAATTGCGACACCACCATCAGAAAGTCGCAAACCCCGACCTCAGCCTTCGACTTTGAGTTGAGACCACCAACATTACCGAGGTTGAACTTTGTCCTACTATACTGCAAGCTATCTCTCCCAAGCAAACCCATGTTTACAAATTATCAAATTTCTCCTACTCAAACCTCAAATCCAGAACTGTTACCTCCACTACTACTAAAATTTCTCTTATTTTATGCAATTTTTTTTTATAAATTTTTATGAAAAATTCGTAAGAAATGTTATTCTTACAAATTTTTTTACAAAATTTTATTTACAAGTAATACCTTTGTAGATAATATTTTTTTATGAATTTTAAAATTTGTAGAAAATTTTCTTGCAAAAAAAATCGCGGAAAAGTTTCCTGCAAAAGAAAGGTAGGTATTGCCCCAACTTATATACTCTTTAATTATTTTATTTTCAATCGATGTGGGACTTAAAGTTTTTTAAAAATATTAAATTTATAAATTTAAATTTTTTTTTATTTTTCCTGCGGATTAAAATTTGCAGGAAAATCAGCAGAAAAAGTTATCTGCAAAATTTTTCTACCATTTATTAAACATTACTTGCGAAACGGTAGCAGAATGGTAAATAATGGGAACTTACGTCGGACAGAGGGGGGTCCGACGTAAATTATCCCATTAACGTCAGAGCTCTCACTGTCCGACGTAAATTTACGTCGGACAGTGAGAGCTCTGACGTTAATGGGATAATTTACGTCGGGCCAACCCTCACCCGACGTAAATATGCCCCTAAAATCAAACGCGCAGTCCACCTTTCATTCTCGCGCTCCCTGTTTAGAAACTAATAATCCATTTTCTCTCAATCTCTAAGTCTCTCAGTGCGTTTGTTTCTACACTAGACGTTTGTAACTCTCTAAGTATCTGCACATTACACGTTTGAGGTTAGTTTCTTGTCTACGCAAATTTTTTTTATTTTCTGCTATTTAGTCATCTGGAACGGCCCGTTCTCCTTGCAGAACGGCCCGTTCTCCTTGCAGAACGGGCCGTTCTGCTTAAATTTTTTGTATTGTAAATTGTTTATCTGGAACGGCCCGTTCTGATTTTAGTATGGGCTGTTCCAGATAGGTTTCTGTTTGTGTATTATTTGTTTTTTTATTAGTTATTTTGTTGCTATATTGTTATTATCTTTTTTACTTTATTTGTCTATTCAGTTAATTCATTGTTTTAATAATGAAAGTTTAATTTTTTCAGGATTATGGAGGATTCTGGGTCTGGCAGTGGAAGGAGGGAAGGTAGATCTGTCACCCGATTGTCTGGGTTGACAGCTGGACGCATTGCCAAGGAGAGGACAC